TGAAATAAAATACAGATGTCTCGTTGACATATCAAATTGATTAATTGATATTTCTCTCAAATGAGATTATGGAACAACTACAAATGATGATGGGATATTCATAAGTTCACCAGAAAACGGGATTTTTCATAATTAAGCTAAATCTTTGGGTAACTTGTGTTAATTAAACACTTGTACACGACTCTATCAAAACTGTTGAGTTTGATTAGGTGAAGCAGCCTCACTCACAATTTTCACCAGACAATCTTGAATTTGTTTTAACTTATCTGATGTGATAATGACAGGCAACCAGATCTCGGGTGGATGAAGAGATTAGAGCAAATTCTTGGTCGCAAACACCAGCGTAATCTTCATGTATTTTCTCTATCCAAATCTTCCTGCATCAAATTTGTATTTTCTCGTATTATTGATGTTTGCATGTTATGATGGTGTAGGCAATATATGTCCTTCATCCAACTTTTGGACTGAAAGCTGCAATATTCGCCATGCAGTTATTCGTAGATAATATGGTACAAAATACAATCTCAGTCAAAATGTCGGGTTTTATGTAACTCTTTTTCCAGATTGTAAAGATATTAAAAAAAAGATAAAGAAGAATAAACTGATATTCAGGTATGGAAGAAGGTGTTATACGTTGATCGTCTTCTGCAGCTGTTCAGATACGTCCCTCGCGAACAACTGACTATTCCTGATTTTGTGTTCCAGTGAGTTTCGATGCTTTTGATTAAACGTGTTCTTTTTCTTTCATGAACATAACATATATATATATATATATATATATATATATATATATATATATATAATCAATTTTCGGCGATTTTGAAACTCGTTCAGGCATGATTTAGAAGTGAATGGAGGAAAGGGTGTTATCATGGATCCAAGAACAAAATATGTCTACCAAAGACCATAGACGATTTACAAAACCTTTGTAAGTTTGATTAATTTCATTTAATTTTTTGCTTCTTTTTTTCGCGTTGAATCATTGTGGGTTGGGTTGGGTTGTAACGAGTTGTTTGTCGTGTATTTTATGTGTAACACAGATTTGAATTCTTTCTTTCCCTTTTGTATCATAGTTTTCAGAACAAATGTTCTCTTTACAATGATGAAGCAATCCTGCTGCTAATAATTTTTTGGGATTTTTTTTCTTTCTCATAGTTATTGTATTTTCTTGGTATGCAACGTGTTTAAAGAATTTGAGGTGACGATGTGAAATGTTAATGAAGTTCCAAACTATAGTGTTTTGTTTTGACAATAAACAAGTTGTCCAGAATAATCTTTGAAATTTTATTCAAGTGACCCAATGCACAATAACCTTTAGTGATACATTAAGCCATCAAGCTTAGCGTACATTAGTGATATCATAAAATGCATCAAAGTATAAATACGCATTTCTGTTAAATAAATTAAGCCCTATAATTATGTAAAAATACATAATTTAATTGAAAATGTATAACTAATTAATACATANCGTCAAAAGATATGTAGGAAAAAGAATAAAAGAATGTTTTAGGAGAATTGAAATACTTTTGCTATCATGATGAATATAAAATAATTGTTTTTAGTAGAATTGAAGTGTTTTTGTAACATGTAATGATTAGAACTTATTTTGTATGAAAATAGTAAAATAATAATCATTAATAGTTAATATTAATAATAAGATTTTCTGACTAGTATTTTTTTGGTAGTAAAAGTTATAATCATAGACTATTATATATATATATATAACTACTGGCTGATGCATTTAATAAAATATTTAATAAAACCTATTTTCATTTCCCTTCAACAGGAGTTACATTTTTTTAATTAATTACTCACTAATCTGCAAAATCTGTTACACCTTAATGTATATATTTTTATTATTTATTTTTTGGATCAGTTACTAAATTAATTTTAAATTTGGTAGCAAAATATTCAGATGTGTAACGGCTAATGTTGGAACTTAAAGTTGATTGGTACATTCAGAACTGTAACCGCTATATTTGGTTGCATTGTTAGAAAAAAAAATATGATTGACACATATTTTTTTTCAAAAAATCAGAAACACCAATAATTTTTTTTATTTATGTTAATTTTCTTAATATATGCCACAAATATATGAATTATTTTATTCATGTTACTAATGTAAACGTTGCATGGTTAAAATAAAATTTAAATCTCAATTAATTTTAAATAATAAAAATAACTTAAGAAAAAAGTAATAATTTTTATATAATAGAAGTACGTGTCTAATTAATAAATACAAAAAAACGTGTTTTATATCTGTGCAAATGCACATGATCGAATATTAGTTGATTTTATTAGTAAAATCTTTAACAAAAAATGAGATAAAATAAATAAATTTTGACTAACCTTACAAACTGAACTAATTCTTATATCTAAATCGTCACTCTGATGATGGTGCCTAACATAAAATAAAATAAAAAAATTCACTACTGAAACAAAGTCTGATATCTAAATTGCCACCCTGGTGGAAACAATTAAAAAAAAAAATTTAAAAAAAAAAGAAGAATAAAAAAAAACTTCAAAGATTTTGATTTTAATTGATAAATTTCCACCTTGCAAGACATAGAATGTCTCTCAAATCGGCCTACATCTGAAGCTACAGTGCGAGCCACTTCCCAACTTCCAAATAATGCTGTTATATATGTCAGGGTAAAGATAAACAAAACCAGTCAGTCAAATCATTATTTTCTAACCAATTCAGAACCAGTCTGTAGTAAACCCAAAACACAAACCAATCAAACAACACCTCAACTTTCCGAGCTACACAACTCACATTTACATCACACAAATGAAAACCATGAATCTCCATCATCCCCATCTC